TGCCTCAGCCTGCGCTGCTGCTCCTCCCAGGTACAGCACCCCTTGCAGCTGTTAAACAGAAGTGGCTCTGGCAAGGGCTCTCCAGCTACCTGGCATAGGAGAATGCTGTCTGTGCAGGTTCCTTGTCCTGTGCTTCCCTGTAACCTGTTGCTGTGAAGGAAGCAGGGATGTGGCTTTACTATGCTGAGTGGAGTATAGAAGTAGTATAGTATGTATAGAAGTAATGTAGTGTATTCTTGCTGAGGTGCAAGCTTTAAGGTAAGACCCTATACGGTTACCTCGAAGTAAGTGGTGCTCTGGTAGTCCTTACTCTGACTTTATAAGTGATAGTAGCATAGGCATTCTCTAATTTTGGCTTTGCTACCAATGTTCATGAGCACCTGTACGCGCATTCATTCCTTTGATGGTTTTCCTTTCCCATGTTTTTTTTGCAGACTATCCTAGGAGAAACTCATGAAGAGGAGGATGAAATCCTTCCACGCAAAGACTATGAGGTGGGAGATTGACTGATAACAGTTTGTGAAAAGAACTGCAGACAGGTTTCGGTCTGTTTGATTTTGGAATGGGGCGGGTACTCAAAATGCATCACTAGTTAGCTTGCATTGGCAGAAATACCGAGAGTTGCTGCAGTTGCAGAGAACTGCTTGTCATCATTATATGTTTCTGGGTTAAAGCCCTGTGAGTGGATCTTGAACATCTGGTGTTCAAGTCAGACTCTTGTTGAGGAAATTCATTTTCAGAGTCTGCTGCGTTGTTCCACTTTTTTAATGTGCGATTTACAGGCTCTAGTGGTCTTGTTTCCTTGTGACTGTAGAAAGCATCTGTAGCTGCTTGGTCACTGCTGCCTTACTGCTGTCTCTGTTAGCCTTCTGGCTCACAGATCTTCCCAGGAGATTTTTGCTTTTTGCATGTCTGTGTGGTGGCCCTGAGCTGTTTAGAGCAGTTGCTGTCAGCATGCATGTTACCAACTCAGCCTGCTACTCCTTGGCTTGAAAAGGTGACGATGTAGATAAAAGCTAGCGGTACTTAGCGAGTACGACTGGGCAACTCTATGTTGCTTTTAAGTCACTGCTGTGATAAGTTTAACAATTGATGCTGTTCATCTGGAGAGGAATTCCTATCTAGTGTTCCTGTTGTAGTGAGAGGTTAAATATCTAATGTTATCCCCTGCACTGTCAAATTGGAGGCACTTAAAGAAGTAAAGTCTAAATCTGTATAATGTGACTTCTCTAATTTAAAGTTCTATTAATTAGTTGTGTGGCTGTTTGGTTACCTATGTCTGTCAGCTTGGGCAATGAAATTGGTTTGTTCTTTCACTTCCTGATCCTCGGGGTCTGGCTCTGCTGGAAATATTTAAATGAAGTTGTTTCCAGGAGTTTTTTCTCCTACCATTTGCAAAACCTACTGTGGGGGTAGTAATGACTTCTGTAATCTTTAACAAGTTCCTCTATCCATAGTTTTTTGCATGATCTGTTGCAGATGGTTCTCTTAAATTGATCTTTTGGCATTCTTTCAGAGCTTGGATTATGATCGCTGTATCAATGATCCATACTTGGAAGTTTTGGAGAGCATGGACAACAAGGTAGGACCTTGTTCTTTCTTTTTCATTAGCTTGAGAGCTAAAACTGTGGAAATTGCCCAGAGAAATTTGCCCAGAGAACTTATGGATGCCCCATCTCTATAAGTGTTCAAGGCCAGGTTGGATGGGGCTTTGAGCAACCTGGTCTAGTGAAAGATGTCCCTGCTCGTGCAGGGGGGTTGGACTAGAAGATCTTTAAAGGTCCCTTCCAACCCAAACCATTCTATGATTCTAAATATTCTCCACTGAAGGAAGTTTTGTGGGGTTTTTTTTTTCTTCTTTATGAAAGAAATTCTGTGTGCTTTCTTGGTTTCTCTATGAAAAGAATAAAAATATGTGTGGAGATTATAGCTCCCAGCATCTGTTCTGATCCTCAGGTTTAAAGTGAGCAAGATGTTCAGCGCTTTCGGTTCCCTATTTCCTGTTTGCTGTTGTCACCATCTTCTGTGGATTTATCACTCTAGCTGTACTTGAGCCCCAAACTGCTTTTTTCTGATCCTCATCTCTATGTGGCTTTGACTTAGCTTTTTTTTTTTTTGTCCTCTTCCTAAACAGAAAGCTCAGAGATACGAAGCAGTGAAGTGGGTGATGGTTTTCGCTATTGGAGTCTGCACAGGACTGGTAAGGGTCATGCTGTTTGGGGAATGAGGAAAATTCAGGAGGCTAAGCAGGAATAATTTAGAAGTCAATGGCCGAGGAGTAAAGAGGAGGAAACATTCTCTTTCATGAAGTGGAGAGCTTAGTAGCTGAAGTTACATTTTGGGAATTATAACATGTTGTTGCTAGATTATTTTCCAGGAAGCCCTTTTTTTCTTTCAGATCTTGCTGTGCTTTCTTTGCAAAGTATTCTGGCAAATCCTTTAATTCTTCATACAGGAAAACTTGTCCAAAGTGAGCATTTAATAAAAAAGGGTGCTAATTTACAGTTGAACTGTATTTTTTTTTATGTTTGGCAGTACTAGCTTCACTGCATGTGCTTTCTAGAGTGTTAGAAAATTAGCTTTGCTGATTGTATGCCTCCATTAAACACCAGTTTTCTTCTGTACCCTGACGTATGTTGTGTCTGTTAAAAATGCTACCAGATTAGTACTCTGAAATGCCTCTCTTCAGGTATAATTCTAGGATGGATCTGTCCCAGCGAGAACGAGGGAGGCAGCAAATCTGAGTTTCTGAAGTTACTCTGAACAACGTTTCTTTTGCCTTCTGCATCCTCTGTTCTCCCCTGTGTGCATACTTCTAGTAGGACTTACTAGGGGGTGGTCTTTGTTACTAGTATGTACTAATTTCTGATGGCAGATCTGTTGTCTTTTTCATAGGTGGGCCTCTTTGTGGATTTCTTTGTACGACTCTTTACCCAACTCAAGTTCCGGGTGGTACAAAGCTGTATCTTTTACCTAGTCTATGGGTTCCTGTTAGACTCAAGTGACCTTTTACTTTCTGTTGCTATGTTTTGCCCAGAACAGCTGACTCTCAGACCTCTGCCATTAGTCATGTTGTTGATGATTAATCAAGTTTTCAACTTGCCTGTGTAATTCAGCCCTTGAAATCAAGAAATGATTCCAGGATCATGTACATAGGCAAAGGCTAATCCCTGAAAGAACGAGTGGTTTCCTGTCCTTGTAGCTCAGTCTTGAGCTCTGAAAAGCAAGCCTGGCTGCCTAATGGGCTGTGTCAGCTGCCCTGGCTGGATTAGGAAGCACAGGCTTGGCTCCTGATGCCAGTGGGACCCCCAGACAGTACCGAATGATCGTGTGTTGGTGGGAATGTTGTTTTCCTTGACTGTCCCTGCAGCGGTGGAAGAATGCACTGAGAAAGGCTGTCTTGCCTTGTCCTTGCTGGAGCTCCTGGGTTTCAACCTGACCTTTGTTTTTCTTGCCAGTCTTCTGGTTCTGATCCAAGTAAGACTTAGTTCTGCTGCTGCTCCTTACACAGTCTCCATTTCTTCTCACACAGGTCCTGGGTATGAACTATCCTTTTTGCTAGAAGCACTTTCTGCCCGAAGACCTCAAACTGTCTTCACAGTGCTGAGTGATTTAGCTAAGCAGAGTCTCTTGGTCCCTTGCTGTGCTCTCTGAGATAGTGTTGGTCAGCTATGAAATCAATGCAGCACAGCACCAGTGTTTCTTTTCTGCAGCCTGTAGCAGCTGGATCAGGAATTCCTGAAATTAAGTGCTACCTCAACGGGGTAAAGGTTCCAGGGGTTGTGCGTCTCCGGACGGTGGTGTGCAAAGCTATGGGAGTGCTCTTCAGTGTGGCAGGAGGTAAGAAGGGCTCTGGTGTCTTGATCTTGTTGGAGTAAAGAATCTCTGAAGCAGGAAAGATGCTGTCCCTGCTCTACATAGGGCACATAAGGCTTCTGCCTTTCCAGTAAAATTATTTTGATGGGCTAGAGCAGAGTGATGAGCTCTGAATGCATATATAGAGTGTAAAATAGACAGAATAATCAGGACTAGTGGGGGAACAGGTACTTTTCTGGGTGGGCCAGTCAGAAGTGGCACTTTGTGGCTCAGTCCACAGGGGAGACCTGAGAATTCTCCAGAAGACATTGCCTAGAGCAGCCTGAAGGAGGCTATGTTCTAGGCAGCAGGGCAGAGTAACCCAGAGAGTTCAGAGTCCTTGGGACAGCTGTCTTTGGTTCCACCCACTTGGAGTCCCAAGTCTGTGCAAGTCTTCACAAATGTTTGGGAGGTTGAGGGGGCAGGGATCAGCACCTTCCTTTACCTCGAGGGGTGAGGGAGGAGCTGCAGGCTTGGCACAGGGAAATGTGCCATGGCATGGGAGTGGTGAGCTGATTTCTCCTGGCATTGTCAGCAAGGGAGAGGGGTGAGGGGAGTGTGTTGCCTCATCAGTCCTGTTTTTCCAGGTCTTTTTGTCGGGAAGGAGGGTCCAATGATTCACAGTGGTGCTGTTGTGGGTGCGGGTTTGCCACAGGTTAGTGCTGGCCTGGCTCGCTGGCCTGGTCACACCACTGCTTTGTAAGATGCTGTGAGGAGTAAGTTTCCATCTCCTCTGTTTCTAAATCTTTACTTTGTTTGTAGTTCCAGAGCATCTCTTTGAGGAAGATCCACTTTAACTTTCCCTATTTTCGCAGTGACAGGTACTGTACTCAGGATGTGGAGGAGGGGAGAGGAGGATGAGTGAGCAGACTTCCTTGGGAGAAGGGTGGCAGGCTGGGATGAATCAGTCAGTTGGGTTTTCAGTTTCTCTCTAGTGTCCTGCAGTTTCATTGTGCAGCAAGACACCACCTGGACTTGACTCTTCCATGCTGCTCTGGTCTCCATGTTCATTGATATTCTCTTGTACTACTCAGCAAATTCTGCTCATTTAAAACCTTTAATCTGAATAGTTAAATGGCTTCATTATTGGGAACAAGCTCAGTTACTCACCCCTTGTGACTCTGGAGAAGGTTGGTCCACCTGAATGTGAACAAAATCTTGCCCTTCCTTCTCTGTAGTTCTTTCAAGTGATGCTGGAGCCTCATGGTTTGGGATGGTTTCTCATACACTGGGCAGTTGTGTGTGAGTGCCAGAGTTTTGCTCTTGACTGGTGCTCTCGAGGAGAAGCATGATGCTGCAACAATTTACAGAATAAATGGTGCAGCCTGCCATGGCCAGCACTTCTCCCAGCTGTCACTCTGTCCCTGGGGTATATCCATAAATGGGAACGGTCTCTTACCTAAGCACCTCTAGAGCTCTACTTTGTTAAACTGAGATTGTTTTCTTCTTTGTTTCAGGGATAAAAGGGATTTTGTATCTGCTGGAGCTGCTGCAGGGGTTGCAGCTGCCTTTGGAGCCCCAATTGGGGGCACTCTTTTCAGCTTGGAAGAAGGTTCCTCCTTCTGGAATCAGGGACTTACATGGAAGGTGGTGAGTAAGGACTCTAGCTCTTTCTGTGTGTCTATTCCTTGAGCTGGACCTTTGGGAAGGCTTGTCCGTGAGGGCATTCAGATTATCCTGTGTCCCCTCTTGAGCTCTCCTGGCAGGAGAGAGATTGCCTGCTCTGAGTGCTCCAGAATTACTACAGATCAAGAGCAGAGATGAATCTATGGGACAACTCTGTGGGCAGCAGATTTAGTGTACCTGGGAGAAAGATCTTTTGTACCTGGGTTCTTTGCAGTCTGATCCTTTAGGAGCAGAGTAGGTGGGCGCTGGATTTCTTTCTGCTTTTCTCTGCCTTGGGGAGCTGTATTGCAGCAATGCCATGTGCCTTCAGGCTGCTGATTTCTCTGCCTCTAGTGCCTACTTTCATGAAGTTTACAGTATTTTAAAAATGTATTGGATTTCATGATGGTTTTTGAACTTCCTATGCCAAATATCCTGTTGATGGGATTCAGTTAGTCTACTCTTTTTCAGTGGGATAAAAAGAGCCAGGGGATTTGCCAAGATAGCAACTGCCTATAAGCCAATGAAGACCTCAATTCCAACTCTAAACAAGCTGTGTCAGTGCCTTGTACTTGATGTGCAACTGCAAATTAGCATCTTTGACAGAAAAAAGGGAAACCAAATCAGATGTTCAGATGATTATGATAGTCCATTCTAGCCCTGCTCTCTTTTGCAGCGGGGAATGGGTGTTAAACCTCAGCAGGACTATTTTCCTAAAGCCTGAGAAGGCTCTGAGGTTCCCTTTCCCTTGCATAAGTCTCAAGAAAGAGCTGACTGTGCCAATCTTAATTTTGGGAGTGTTTAGTTCTTCCTTTTTTTTCTCCCTGCTTCGTCAGCTTTTCTGTTCCATGGCTGCCACCTTTACCCTGAATTTTTTTCGCTCTGGGATTCAGTTTGGAAGTTGGGGGTCTTTCCAGCTGCCTGGGCTGCTGAACTTTGGGGAGTTTAAGGTAAGATTTAGTGCTGTTATTTCCCCCCTCTCCAGTCTCTTGTCAGTTCAATGTTTCTTTCTGTTTTTCTTGATACGTGCTTGTATTTCAGTGCAGGGCAGTTGATATTTAGCTGCAATACATTGATAGCCTGAGGTAGAATTGTTTCCCTTTGGTCATAGCTGCTGAAAGTCTCCTGCCGTGGAGACAGAAGTGTTGATAGGAAACTGCAGCAACTATTCTAATGCTTTTTTCTGTGCTTTTCTGCATGTAGTGCTCTGAGTCTGATAAGAAATGCCATCTCTGGACGGCTGTGGACTTGGGCTTCTTCGTTCTGATGGGTATTGTAGGAGGCCTTCTCGGAGCCACCTTCAACTGTCTGAACAAGAGACTTGCGAAGTACCGCATGCGGAACGTGCATCCCAAGCCAAAGCTGGTCAGGTATTTGTGCTCTCTTGAGTTTGTGCAGGAATTTCTGATCTGTTTTCAGTGTTCCAAAGCAAAAGCATCAGTCTAGAAGACCCACTGAGAGGGATTGGAGGAAATCCCAGACCTATTATTTTTGAAATCACAAAATGAAGCCTCCATAGAACTTAAAAATGAACACCAGAAACCAGATGTTAGAGTCCCTCTGCATTTTCATAATTACTCTGGTGGTACAGAGAGCTGCAACTCCTCTTACAAGGGCTATGAAGGGAGCCCTTTATTATAGAGGCTATAGCTGAACAAACCAGAGCTTTGTCTCCATGCAGTATTTTTTTGTCTTATCCAAAGAGATGCGAAAAAAATAGCTGATCCCACTTGGGTTTTTTTTTTAATTATCTTGGTTAATTAAATCCTCAACTGAGCTAATATCTGTGCTATTTAGAGAGGGAATCACCATGGAATTCTGGAAAGTAGCAGTTTGTTTGCTCTAGACAATTCCTAAATAAGAAGCCCAGATTTAAAAAAACCTCCAAACTGTATTTCAGCAGTTATAAAAGAGATATGAGAGGCTATGCATCAACCTGTCCAGTCCTGTCTAGACTGTTACCCTGTAAGGACCTACAGAACATTGTTTCCATGTGAACAGCCTCATCACTGGACCTTTCCCTGTGGCATTTATACATGACTGCTATGTGTTCTCTGGGCAGAAATAGCTCCTTTTTGGGGCAGGCAATTAAAAAGGGGAGTTAAAGCAATCCCTGGCAACCAACTCATAATTCAGCTTGACTTGCAGAGTCCTCTGCTTCTGATGTTAAGCTGTGGTGACTGTGTCTTCTTGCAACCTTATCAGTCATGTGCAGAGCTGGGACTGGGTTACAGGGCTGAGTGTGGCTTCAGTGTACAGTTTCTGTTGTGTGCTTGCAGAGTCTTGGAGAGCCTGCTGGTGTCGTTGACTACCACGGTCGTGGTCTTTGTAGCCTCCATGGTTCTGGGGGAATGCCGGCAGATGTCTTCCACCGCTCATAGTGGCAATGACACTCTGAGCATGCAGGTGAGGGATCTTTTGTGAAGATTATATGTCCCCATCATATTGTGCACCTTCCAGAGAAGCACAGGCACGTGAGCTTTTGGCAGCATTTAGTACCTAACGTAACTTTGGTGAAAGCCTACAGACAGTTGCAGGAGATTAGGGTGATAATGAAAGCTGCCCTTTGTGCTTTCGTACTTTGGCAAAGCAGCTCAAGCTGTGAATCAGGGAGCCCATTGATGTTGCAGGCCCCATCCCTGCTACTGATCTTTGGTCTGAACTTCGCAAAGCGTGGGCTGGCAGCCCTGTACAGAAGGGTTCTGTGCAAAGGCTAATGTAGCACAGAGTGGATTTTAACTGTCTTTTGTGTTCTGCATTAGGGCATGTCAGAGGATGTGAATTCAAGCATTAAAACGTTTTTCTGCCCAAATGAAACCTACAATGACATGGCCACACTCTTCTTCAACCCTCAGGAATCAGCTATCTTACAGCTCTTCCACCAGGACGGTGAGTATCTAGGGGACAGTGTTCCGTCTCATGTTTAGGCTTCAGAGCTCCATCTTGCTTGAAACAGCCTTGTCATAGGAACCATGAGGCTAAGAGCATCTTCAGGCCTTCATGGCTCTGGGGGACTGCTAGTACAACAGGTGAAAGCCTCCTCCATGGGAAGAAAGGCCTACTTTTCCTCTCTTTTTCACTTATTCATTGTCTTCATGTGTGTTTGGACTGGGAGACTAAGGAGCTGTGGTGAGATGAGCCTGCTGTGAGATGAGGGGTGGATGGTGCAAGACTACTGTCTTTGTCCGACAGACCTGTGCCCTTTAGTCATGACTCTTCTTGTGTTGCAGGTACTTTCAGCCCAGTCACACTGTCCTTGTTCTTCCTTCTCTATTTCTTACTCTCCTGCTGGACATACGGGATCTCTGTGCCCAGTGGTCTTTTTGTGCCATCATTGCTTTGTGGGGCTGCCTTCGGACGCCTGGTCGCCAACCTCCTCAAAAGGTGCATTGAGTGTGCGTACGTGTGCGAGAAATGTGCTGCAGGCACACACTGAGCTCTCGGTCAGGTTATTCTAATCTCTGGGCTCCGTTGTTTGCCCTAGCTACATTGGCCTGGATCACATCTACTCGGGAACCTTTGCACTGATTGGGGCAGCAGCGTTTCTGGGAGGAGTTGTCCGCATGACAATTAGCCTGACCGTCATCCTAATTGAATCCACCAATGAGATCACCTATGGGCTCCCAATAATGATCACCCTCATGGTGAGTGCAGAGTCTTAGCTCTGGCTTCTTGCAGACTGCTTGAATGTGTGCTGGCCCTGGATCTCTGTTCCTTCCAGAGCTATGATAAGCCAAGGAGTCTTGTACTTGGAGCAACAACTCAGTAGACCTTCTGTTTGCTCTGCAGGTAGCCAAATGGACAGGAGACTTTTTCAACAAAGGCATCTATGACATCCATGTGAACTTGCGAGGAGTGCCTCTTCTAGAATGGGAAACAGAGGTGGAAATGGATAAGTAAGGTTGCTCCTCTTGGCAGGGCTGTGGGTTAGAGTTTGTGGTAGGGTTCTTGCTCAGAAAGGAATGCCATAATGCAGGGGGATGATGCTTCATCTCCAACAAACCTGGCTGCTCTGAGAGGAGCAGCTGTGAGGAGGACTGCTGTGAGAGGACTTGGGATTTGTACATCAGCTCTGCAGCAGGAAAGTGGTGCTGGAGCCCTTTCTGAGGAGGGTTGGATGGGTGGAGATCTGAGGAGCAGATTTGTGAGGTTCAGCAAGAACGCCAGCACCACTCATAGCACAGTGAAGGTAAGCACACAGATATAAGGAGCTGCAGAACTGAACTGCAGCAGACTCCTTCAGGATCTTATTTTGGGAATGGTTTGTTTCCTTGTTTGTCCATCACAAGATACATGCAGCAATCGTGGATTTCTCTTTCCTCAGATTGCGAGCCAGCGACATCATGGAACCCAACTTGACATATGTCTACCCACACACCAGGATCCAGTCCCTTGTCAGCATCCTGCGCACAACTGTCCATCATGCCTTCCCTGTAGTGACTGAGAACCGGGGCAACGAGAGGGAGTTCATGAAGGGAAATCAACTGATAAGTAACAACATCAAATTTAAGGTAAGAAGTTGATTGTTTGGTAAGTTGAAGGGTAAAGAGCTTTGTTTTACAGGTGGAAGGCCCTTTCTTTTGTTATGTAGGCTTTTGTCAGTGCAGAATTCAGGTCAGACATGAGCAGCTACTGCAATAAAAATTTTCAGGGAATGAATTTCAATCCATTCTCTGTTTCATGGTAAAGGCAGAAGAGTGGGCTGCATTCCTAGAGGCAAAGTTAAGAGGAATAAGTACTTGTTTAGGATAGACGTGGAAAAAGTTTGATTTGGCACTGAAGTACTGAACCCACCATTGAGATCAGTAGTAGGAGCTTAAATGCTTCTCTTGTTTGTAGGAGGGGTAGTGGGGCAGATGCTTTAGTCTCTTGGGAAACTTAAAATTTAAGGCCAGAATGAGTAATTAATGTGCTCGTGGCATACTCGTGCTCTAGCAAAAAAGGATGCCTGAATTCCTAAACTCCAGGCTGCCTGTCCAAGGAGAGTACAGTCCTATTGGCTATTCTTACAAGTACAGCAGCAGCACTAAGGAGCACCTTATGTGGTGACGTAAAGTTGTGATCAAATAGTTTATAGTCACTCTTGGATAACTGTTGACCTGCTTAGTGGGTATCTGAAATTGTTGTTGTGTCCAGAAATCCAGCATCCTCACCCGAGCAGGAGAGCAGCGCAAGCGTAGTCAGTCCATGAAATCCTACCCTTCAAGTGAATTGCGTAACATGTGTGATGAGCACATAGCAACGGAGGAGCCACCAGAGAAGGAGGATCTGCTGCAACAGATGCTAGAGAGAAGGTGAGATCCTGGTAGGCACAAATGTATGGAAACAGGATGTTTCCATATGTTGAGATGTGTTGTGATGCTTCATACAGTCCCTGTCATTCCATATGTCAGAGAAAACAGTGCTAGTATCGATGTTTCAGAAGAAGTGACTTGTCAGGTCTCGGCAGTCAGTGCTGGGGCTCCCACTTGTGACCGAGTCCTTGCCTAATGGCTTGATGGTGTCCAACCTGTTCACCTACATTTCCTTTCAGGAGAAGGCTGCAAAGAGCTGAAATAGCTGTTCTTGTTTTGGAGGTGGGGGAATGCATCTCTCTTTAAATTCATACAATTTATAACGTATTAAATCTGTCACAGATACACTCCTTACCCCAACCTGTACCCTGACCAGTCTCCCAGTGAAGAGTGGACCATGGAGGAACGCTTCAGACCTTTGACCTTCCACGGCTTGATCTTGCGCTCACAGCTCGTCACCCTCCTTGTCAGGGGTGTTTGTTACTCCGAGAGCCGGTCGGTGAGTCGTCTTAATCAGGAATTGTACCAGAGAAATCCCTACCCTCTCAACTGAGAAGGTTGGGAACCATATTTATGGACTGCCACAATGAATTTACCTTTTTTACCCTTTAAGGAATGCATCTGTGTTTTAAAACCTGCAGATGGATAATGTGAATTCTCCCTTGCAGCTCTAGAATAGAGAGAATTTAATTTCTGTTTAAGTACCACCAGGAAAAGAGGACAGCTATTGTTTAAAAAATAAACCAACAGACCCATTTGTGCCATAAAGGTGCAATCCTGTCATAAATGGAGAACGGAGGGCAGATATTAAATCCAAATAGAGCAACCAGCGGTCTATACTGTGTGTTTTTGCTGCTGCGTGCCAAGGTCTTACCAGGAGAGTGCCAGCTGTATCACTGAGATCAGTATGAGCATTTGTGTTTGAGGCCCATCTACCGCAAGGTTGATTTGTTGCTGCCCTCCAGCATTGAGTGGAGATCGGTCAGAGGCTAGAGAGCAGATCCGTTGCTCTGTCAGCTAAATGCCTGCATAGGTTTGGGCTTGCACTGCTGCGGTCTGAGGTGACCTGCTAGGAGTGGAGTACCTCTGCAGAAGTTGGATGTGTGGGCATGGGTGGAGGAGGAGATCTGGGTGAACCATTGGGAGGCATTGTTTGCTGTGCTGCTTGCAGCCCATGAACTGACTGGGATGGTGACACATTGGTTCAGTGGGATTTGTTTTAATTGCAGAGTGCAAGCCAGCCTCGTCTGTCCCATGCAGAAATGTCAGAGGATTACCCCCGCTATCCAGATATCCATGACCTGGACCTCACGCTGCTGAACCCTCGCATGATAGTGGTAAGAAATGCACTGCAGCGTAACAGTGTTTCCTGTCATATGTTTAGGACTGTCCCAAGCCTTTAAAAAAGGTCGAGCCTTTAAAAAAAGTCCACCCTTGGGTGCAGTGACCAACATTTTGTACTTCTCATGCATTGTCAGCCTTGTCTGCATGTGGAAATCAATCCTCATACCTGCTGTGAGGTAACATCACACACAGGTACTTTACTTTCAGAATAAGATGTTGCCTGTCTACTTTAATTTCCTTCTGGATTAGACTCTTGCTTGAGTGAGATCAGACAGGCAAGCTGCTGATACCTATTTGGAACTCTGTGTGCTGGCAGCTCAGTCAGTGGCAGGACTGTCATTGTCTTTGTGACAGGAAGCTTGCTGTGTGGGCCGAAGTGCTTTTTTAATATACGTTCTTATTTTCACGGACCAGCATTTATCCTGCTCTGAGGCTTTCTGCAGCTCTTAAGAGTTACAGTGTTCAAACAAACTGTGACAAATTCAGGTTCATGAAATAATTTCATATATGTGGAGAAATAGAAGATGCCCACAGTCCAATACCCTGTCTAGAGATCAGTGCATTGGAGGACTTGTAGGAATTGCTTGTCAGCGATTCCCAGAGATAGTGAAAATGCCTTCTGTAAATAATCTAATTGTTTTTCTTTAGGATGTCACCCCATACATGAACCCATCACCCTTTGCTGTCTCTCCAAACACTCATGTGTCACAAGTCTTCAACCTGTTTAGGACAATGGGACTCAGACATTTACCGGTTGTGAACGCAGTTGGAGAGGTGAGTCCTTATCTCCATTTTGTCTTGGCTGAGCAAGGAAGCCACTGTGTGTTTTGCAATGTACTCTACCTTTGGGAGAATTAAGATCTCTTTTAACATCAAACAGAAATGCTTTAAAGAGATCAGAATGTGGTGTTCTTTACAGGCCCTGAAGCATTGTTAGTTACTGTGACTTTGTTACCGTCTTTTGCGTCCAAGCCTGCTTCCCACTTTCCCTCCAAAGGGCAGGACAAGCAGTCTCTCTCCTGTCTCAGGTTGACAGCATGTGGAAGTTCTTACTGTCTTGTACCTGTTAAGAGGCCTTGAGCTTATCAGAAGCCACTAATTTGGCTTCCTCTTTGACAGCTTTATTCAAGACCAAGAGCAGAAATTCCTGTGTGTTGGGGCAGGAGGTTTTTCTGCTGGAAGGGAACTTGCATTCTGTTCCTACTCAAAGGAGCAGCAATAAAGGGGTCTTTGAATGGTTTGTGCTTGATTCGCTGTACTTGTCTCTCTGCCATCTACAATGCTCAGGAATAGTCAGTAGGTGTCAGTAACTTCCTATAAACATAATGAAACTGTTTCCCATAAGCCTGAACCGGTCTGTCCCTATGAGACAGCAGTGCTTTTTCTCCCTTTTGGCATTCCTAATAGCTACTCTGCAGAGCCTGTTGGTTGAAAATGAGAGATGTTGATTTGTTCCATGTTTATTACAAGATGCTTTTGCAGTACTAGAGAGCAGCCTAGTTCTAAACTCTTTCAATGTGTAAAACCACTGAGGTGTTTCATCAGCTGAAATATTTAGTTTTAATGTTTCCCCAGCAGGCTGGGAGAGGTTCCCTTTTGTGACCTGCCAGCTAGCGATGGCCAGTGTGCAGTCACCACTCAGCTAGCCTTTACAGTTTCTCTTCTGAATGGTCTTTAGAGCTTCCTAGAATGTAACTGATACGAGCTATCTGCAGTCATGTCATGTGGCATACCAGAAATATCTCTAATGAAGCCATAAGAGACAACTTTGTTATTTCCAATTACAGTTTTCACTTTCCAAAGGATTTAGTTACATCCGTATACTGTCTAACACAGACAGGATTTCCCTTCCTAGGCAGGAGTAACTACTGCTGTGTCCAGACATGATAGCAACAGTTAAGCTGTCTGGGTGTAGTTAAAGCAGTGTCTTGCTTATAGATAAGTACTGGGATAAGGAGGGGTGTTGTTTTGATGAGATTTGAACTTGAATCCGCTCTCATTCAGCATTGGTCAAGAACCACTTGCAGGTTCCCCCCTTCTTGGGGGTTGTAAAGAGCAACAGTTCTACCATGCACATCTCTTAGTGGTACATCTGTGATACTGACTTGTATCTTTTTTTCCTCTTTTCTTCCCCTTTAAGATTGTTGGGATAATCACTCGGCACAACTTGACCCACGAATTTCTGCAGGCAAGACTGAGACAACACTATCAGACCATTTGATGCCCCTGCCCACCCTGCCCCACTGTCGGTGTGGCTACCTCCCTCTTCCAAGCCTGCACACGCGCTCGCATTCTGCTTGGACCCCACAAGGCCCAAGACTTGCCGTTTGGCTTCTCACATGCATATCAAGCCTGGGGAGCTGGAAAACATCTTACTAGCCAGAGAAATAGAGGAGCAGCCTGAGCCCAGAGCTGTTGATTGGTCTCAGGCACTTGGTTTGACCACTCTTGATCCAGGTTTTTCCTTTTCCTGTGCCCCAGTTATCTCCTTTCATCAGATGTTGTCCTGACACTGTATGTTCTGCTATTTTGTTTTGTTTTGGGTTTAAGGGTTGGAAAAAAGAACCATCTAGCTCCACTGTGTCCTGTGCAAAGAACTGCAGCATCTTTTCCCTATCCTCCTGTATGTCTCCCTTTTCCTCTTCCTCCCTTGTTCCTGCAACTGTTGCCTTACTTGTGTGAGAAGGGGGTCACTGTCAAGGCTGAGAGGAGATACTGAAGTTTGCAGTTATCAGATAGCTGCTCTGGAGGATGGCTTTTCTCAAAAGCAGTATTAAAAAAAAATCTGTCTCTTTGGAAATACACCTCTCTTTGTGGGTGCTCCCAGTTGCCCATGTTTTTCCACTCTGGCTTCATTGGTTCCTAATTTCTCTCCTTCTTTCATGGGGAAGTGTCCCTGCTGTGATGTTTTTGACAGCAGCTGACTTTTGAGAGCAGCTCAGCAAATCAGAAGTTCATAGCAGTTCAATTCCAGTTACTGTTTGGGATTATAAATATTTAATACATTTGCAGACCATCTCAGAGAAGGGAGATCTCAAAACTGTTGTGCTATTATCTCCCTGTAAGAGACTCTTCTAAGGCACTTTGTGGCACTCCACTTTGTCACTGCCCTGACACTCCTGCTTTTCTTGGCATTTGTAGGCACTTTGTCCTTGTACTGATCCAAGAGTGAGAGCCTGGGACACCTTTCCAGCTAGGGTTAGAGACCAGGGAACCCCATGTCCCCAGAGCATGGTGAAGTGTTGCTTTCTAGAGGCAAATAGAACTGAAGCCGTGTCTCTGGGCTTGGTTGAATTATCTCTGCGTCATGAGAGAAGCTGGTGTAACTTCAGGCTGCCGTACAGGAGGGATACTTGGTGCTGGTAACTAACAGGCAGGATCTGCTGCAGGGTGACAAGTGGGGCTGTCTGGATAACGTTTGCAACTGCAACAGCTGAATATCTGTAAGGGTAAAATCAGCACTTAGAAGCCAGTTGCAGCCAGTTCACTGCTTTAGCAGGTACCATCCTGGCCAGCACCTGTATTGTTCCAGCAGGCACCTGCCCTCCTGAGTTTTGCATACAGATAACCCTCAGTGGGAAGCCAGCATTGTGCCTCCAGGGGCTGCAGAGCTGATTGGCTTGATAAAGCACAGAGCATTCTCTCAGCCAAGAGACTGGGCCAGGTAACATGGGGAATGTATCCCAGAAAAGCTTCTATACAGCCTCTGAGCATTCCGATTAACCTGTTGTCTGCCATAAGGAGCTAGCTAGATGAGAGTTGTGGCAGAAGGAAATGGGACATTATTGTATTTTCTGAATTCAGGAACTTACCTATGCTGAAGATTTTCGTGACTGAAAGCCTGAAGAAATTGTGCCCTTTCCTTACATGCATCAAAACACTAACAGCCTCTTTGACTTTGTGGAAGCTGGTTGTTCCAGGGCACTGCTCTGCAAACTGCTGGCTGCTGAGCCCCGCTACAGTTAGGGTTAGGAGGAGTTTTTGTGCCCACGTCATCAGCCATGGTCTTGATGGCTCTTTAAGTCACTGGATCTCTTAGATGTTCATGCAGTCTTTGCAGGACAGATGTATTCTCTGGCTGTGCTTGCAATAGAGACAGCTGAGTCATGGGAGGCTCTTGAATTTTGTCCAGCAGATGAGAGAAAACTTGATATTGCAAGTGGTTCCTGAGGCCAAGTTCTAGGGTAGAATTCGCCCTTGTCATACGGTGCATGGCATGGCTGAGTTGGAAAGTTTGATTTTAGCAAAGCTGTTTGTAAGCACTTAAATTTTAATTTTTATTCCTCTCCAATGACATCTGGAGGCCTTTTTTTTCACTTGGTGTTCTTTCCCACCTGCTACCTTATTAAGAGAGGAAGGGTAGATATTTCTTTGTTTTAAGAATGGATTTACACTC